TCATGGGGAGTTAACATGATCATCACCTCTGAAAAATTAGTTTTCTAAATTTGGATTTCGATGCCTAACTTTAACTACCCTATTTTGAAAATTTTGGTCATTGGTTTTCCCAAGACAAAATAGCATCTGACAATGAGTAACAATACTGTATTTGTAAACTGATATTTTTCTAATGGCACAAGTTGGAATAATGAGTAATGTTGTTAGAGTTATTCCAAATACAAGTGAAAAAACACTGTGTGGAAACTAACACACGTAATATAATGTAATATAGGAATATTTAGTAAAGTATACTGGGTGCAATAAACAGTCACCTGAATCTTCTTCATAGCTAATAACATTGTCCAAAACTCTTACTTTTAGAATATAAGTCAAGTTAATTTTAGAGTAAGCGAATTAAAGAAAGTCAAACCAAATCTGGGTTTATATGTGAGCGGTTCTTCAATCTCAACAAATAATTTGGAACTGGATATTGCATTTCCTGGGCCCCACCAAAACCACTGCAGTCAAGAAACAGACCATTATTCTATAAACATACATCTTACCAGATTTTCAAAAAACAGAATGGACAAAGTGCATAATGTGGTGTTATAGAACATTTCCATTGAACTTAGTTGTCACATTCAGTAAGACATGTGAAAAGAGACGTTGGCTGAAGACATAATCAATTTTCATCCATGCCATTTAATTGTCTTAATACACAAACTTCTTCCTTCATAATTTGGTCTGCTCTTCTTCAAAACATACTTTTTCACTCAAGAGAATTCACAATATTCTTTTTGTCTGTGGGAACCAAGGAGCTTGAACATAGTATTATACTAATAGTTCTCATCAGGTTTAGAAACAACAGTAATTTCAGCTCCTCTCCCTCACTCCAGAAGCAGTTTATTCCAGGTAATCTAACTGAAAAATACAACATGGAATAGCCATACAAATAGGTTACTTACACATAGCCAGCTGTACGTTAACAGATGTCGAGAAGAAAGGGACAGACGGTAAAAAGATAAATATGGATCCTTTATATAATTTTGTTATTTATTTTTGTAGTAAAAACCCAAGAGATTTTCCCTTGGGCGTCACATGCCAAAAATCAACCTGATCTTTCTCTAAAGACAAACTTGCTCCACGAAATCTAAGGGCTTGGCTATACCACCCTGCAGTTTGGACAAAAGAAGTGTGACTAGCAGTGTGCACCAAAGCGATATGCTCTAACTCCCCCAGGTGGGTGCTGTGGGCGCAAATCAAAAGGTTCCTAATGCATGTTAATGAAGTCCTCTTCAAACGGGACTACATTACTGGGAACTAGGAACCTTTTACTTCGCACCTCTAGAGTCTACATGGGGGAGTTACAGCACATCCCTTAGGAGCGCCCTGCTAGTTATGCCCCTGTAGTCGGAACTGCGGGGCAGTGGGGACACAGCCTAAGTAAAAAGGACATCAGATGCTGCACAATTCAAACTATACATGATTATCATGTATTTAAAAAAAACTAATAGGATGCAATCAACTAATTATAGAAAGTGCTACTAAAATGAAAGTAGTCCAGTGATTGACTTTCTCCTTAGAAAGTTTAAAAAAGGGTCACCTCAACAGAAGCTTGGGCAAATATAAACAGAAAGTTATATGTGCAATGTTAATTTTTATAAAATGATAATCATGAGCCATGAAAAAGAGGCACTTCTGCTATTTGTAAGCAGTAATCTGCTCATTGTTTTGAGATAAGTATCTGATATGTCTCAAAACTGCAAAGCGGTGCAGCTGTTTCTCAACAGCATGATTCAGTGAGCTCGATTTTGATTATTTTGGGCTACAAACTCTGCTGGTTGTCTTTATGAAATCAACAGATATCATCAATTATCACTTCACAAAAACTGAGATACAACAATTATTTCCTGTTTCAAGTAGAGGGAAACACTACAGTGTGACAATGTGGTAAATTAAGACTTTTTAGTATTAATCACTATGTCAAATTTACAACCACTTTGCAAAAATCACATTAGAATGAAACATTCTGCAGACCAATGTTTCAGGTAAGTGCTTCTTTTAATATTCTAAACTTTGACTGTCATTTTGTGCTGATAGGCCAGGAAGGTGAGGGTTAATTTTACCCTACTCAGCAGAATGTTAATTGGGCCACTCCACTCTGGCTAGTTGTGAAACAGTATGTTTCTCCTCTGAGTATGTGATAATTAAAACCCTTATTCCCAGAATACGTGGCAAGTAAGCAGAACTGGAAATGGAGAGAGATGACAATTGTGGGAGGGCACTAGAGCGATTTAGCCTGCAACCTCAATGGAAAGTGTGTGGTGGTTACCAACCTGAGTGAAAGTGGAACCTCAGCTCTAAACCAGATGCCCAACTGTGCTTGTTCACCTGGGTAGAAGTTACCACCTAACTCAGGTGAGAGGGTTGTGTGTGTGGATAGGGGAAGATGAGGGATAAGGGCAACACCAGGGTAAGAACCTGGGCTATTTCTGCAGTGAAGTCATACCCTAAATCAATGGTTCCCAAACTTGTTCCGCCGCTTGTGCAGGGAAAGCCCCTGGCGGGCCAGGCCGGTTTGTTTACCTGCCGCGTCCGCAGGTTCAGCCGATCGCGGCTCCGAGTGGCCGCGGTTTGCTGCTCCAGGCCAATGGGAGCTGCTGGAAGCAGCGGCCAGTACGTCCCTCAGCCTGCGCCGCTTCCAGCAGCTCCCATTGGCCTGGAACAGTGAACCGCGGCCACTGGGAGCCGCGATCGGCCGAACCTGCGGACGCGGCAGGTAAACAAACCGGCCCGGCCCGCCAGGGGCTTTCCCTGCACAAGCGGCGGAACAAGTTTGGGAACCACTGTCCTAAATCATCTCTGAGAATGAGGACAATTCCAGGGCTCTGATGTCCTGCAGGCTCTTTACAGAAAGAGAATTGGAACACAAACTTCAGCAGGGCTACCTCCAAAGCCCCACTGGTACCTTCAGATTAACAAATGCAGGAAAGTAAAAAGGATGGGGGAGGAGACGGGTGGAAGAGAGATCCAGTAAGATATATAGTGCATTGAGTTCCTGTGCCTGTCACTCCCTCCTGGACTGAATTAAATGAGACAACACTCCCTTGTGCTGTGATCCAGCTAGATCTCACCAAGCTAAGCATGGCTGGGCCATGTCAAGGCCCACCTAAGAAAGTGCCAAGGAACACCTAAGTTTTGAAGTGGTGTTGGCAATTCAGTAGGGGTCACTCTGCCCTTTGTATCAGCACTAAATCAAAAATCTAGCATGGTGTTATTTGAGGATGTGGGTGTTTTACTATATGTGTGGTCTTTCAGATAAGGCACAAAACTGAGGTTCTGACCACCTGTGGTCATTAAAAGTTCAACATCCCTTTTCATCAGAGCAGAGGTGTTAATCCTCATTCCTGGGCCAAATTCAAACTCAAGTAACTACCCTCCTAAATTCCCCCTGCTGTTCTAATAGTATATGGTATTCTTCACTTCCTGCCCTAAAATGTGGTGTAATCTAACCGCACAGTTAGACAGCTGTTGTGTTCCACTCCACTGGTGGCTGACTTTCAATGGTGGATGAAGTGATCCGTATCTATCTCACTGGGGTGTTGTGAAGCTTAATTGTTTGTAAAGCTATTGGATGAAAGGCACTATAGACATAGTATTTTTATTAATCCTAATGTTTTTTAAAAGCAGTGTGGTCATGCTGCGTAGAATGTTGCAAGACTGAGAGTATCAAAACTCTATAGTCATAAGCTATTGTCTTAGTCCTGCTGTTATACCATAATGTGTTTTATTTGCATGTTAATCCACTTGCATGCCCCTTTGAGGCAAGAATCATATTATTAGAACCCTATGAATTTTTTTATTTATAAATTCTTCGTTTTATTTTTTGGGAAGTTTGTTTTCTCGTAAGAAGCCCATTGTAAGAGGGGGTTGGGTCCTGCCCCTAGGGTGGGAGGCTGTGGGGGAAGGAGGAGGGTGCTGCAGAATGAATCAGCCCTACACTCACATTGCAGCAGCAGCTCTTCTCCTGCAGGGCTGGGCCCAGCTCCCCACTCTGGGTGTTGCGGCACACGGGGTTGCGTTGCCGCTCAATTTTGGCCCACCCGCCTCTCCAAATTTGAGTGAGTATTTGCTAAAAACATGGGGCTCTACCTATTATCTTAACTGCTTATGGTGCCATATACTCTTACAATGCTTTAAAATCATAATGAAATCTCAATTTCCCATTTCCCCACATATGCTAACCCAGCTTCTCTATCCTCTCCCTAAATGACATTACAAAGTCAGATTCAAAAGCACAGAAGGCATTTAACTGAAACATTTACCTACAGAATTTTGTTTTGAATTTTATTGTGATTTCAAATTGAGGGGTTTGGAGTGATACAGGGGTACGTTTAAACAAATTATCCTAAGGCTTTTCAAACAGGTTAGATGCACAGATTTGCATAATAAAGCAGCAAGCAAGGATACAACCATGAATGCCAGTTTATATATTTGCTACAAAGAGCAGAATTGTCACTAGAGAAGGTAGGTAATGAAATTCCTCTTTCCCTCTCCCCGGCTTTTTTTTTTTTTTTTTTAAAGAAAAATTGAAATAATATGTTCTTTTCATAAGAATTGTTCCGCTAAAAATATATTACAAGTTAAAAAAAATATAGAAAATGGAGAATGCCTTGGACTAACACCTTCTTCAGCTTTAATCACAAATAATTGCCTCTTTTTTGTACTAATGAGCAGCGCAAAATGGAATGTAATTTAGACATTCATTCAGTGTAATAGCTTTGTGAGCTAATATTACTGCAGAGAGATCTATTCTCAATTTCCTAGAGTACAACAACAGAGCAGCAGTAAGTTTTTCACTTCAGGGAGCTTTTCTGCCCTATGTAAATATAAATAGAAATCCCATTATCTATTGATAAAAACAACAAAGCAGGTTAAATAAAGTTTTATATGTTACTGTTTCCCATAACAACCATCAGCTCTGTAGATCATGAATGTAAATAAAGCACTTCACTTACTGAAATCAATGAGAAACCTTCCAAATCCTTGCCTTTGATATTGGGGCATGATCATTATGCAGGAGACATTGTACTTCTGCTGGCAAAGCTTTTCCTGAGGGAAGGAGAAACAGATCAAGTATGTCAAAGCACTGCTGAAGTGGGCAATTCCCTGCACCTGCCACTGTCCTTGTAAAATATTTCAGAAAGGTGAAAAGACGTATCTGGTCAATACCAAAGCAGAATAATTCTAAGGTATTCATAAATTATAAGGGGGGAAAGTATCAATCAAAGGCACCCTCTAAAATATTTCTTTTTACTATTTAAAAAGTCAGCACCATAGAAATTAAACAAAATCCCAAGGACTTGCATAAACACTGTAATGAAGGTTAAGTGCAGAATGGGGGGCGGGAATCTTTTCATGTGACATTGATTATTCTGTCAGGTATATACAAGGGGAAATAATATACACACACTCACCAAAGAGAGCAAGTTAGGTTTGCAGCAATTGCCATGTTAAATAACTTACTGCCTTTCACCCACATTTCATCTTCTACCTTTTAGCAAATACCTTTAATGCTAGTACGATTGTGTAACTGAAGCGATACACTTTTTTCCCCACAGACAAATGCATTCTCCTCTGATTACAAAGTGAAGAAAAAATGCTTGGGCCATCAGATCTCAGCATTTCAGACAAGACAAAATCACATGACTATGAACATAATAGAGGCAAAGATTACACTGACTGCTTAAGACAAAGGGGAAAGCAGACACAGAAACTAAAGTAGGAAGCAACCCTTGTAATATAGTCTGAAGGATTTTTGTTTTTTAAAATTTGGATGCGATGTAGGGGCAGTATTGTTTTAGCCGTAGTATCCAAAAAATGTCAAAATCCAGTGAAGAACAGTCCTGAGACAGGCCTCTTCCTGTCTTTAGGAGTAATGCAATTAAATATAAGTAACTTTTTAAAATAAAACTAACAGCATCAAAGACCTAAATCAGACCATTCAAATCCAGGGTGACATATTCAACAGAAAGCTCCAGCAAGCATAGACTTGATAGGCAGCTACTCAGGGTAACACATGTAAGGAGATGCCAGAATAATATGGGAATTGTCACCGTCACAAGTGGCAATAGGCCAGTCTCAAATCACGCTCCTTCACTTATGAAATTTGATTGACTCTTTGCCACATTTCATAAAAGTATCCCAGCTCCTGTGCAGATTTATACTGACAGTACTGCTTAGTCTCCAGTATGGCCCCAAACCCCTTGAACTGACTGCCATAATATGTACTTTGAAATATTACTGTGCCCACTGCAAAGGATTCAGGGGAATTTTTGCCCACAAAAGAATACTAGCTACAGAAGACTGAAAAGAAAGGGCCCCAATTCAGGAGAGCACGCCAGCATGTGCTAAGTCCTATTGAAGTCAATGGGATTCTAGAACATGTTTCAGTGCTTTCCTGAACTGGTGCCAGGGACATGACAAAGATAAGAGGCTGGGTGAGCTGTTGAGAAGAAGAGGGCCAAAACAATTTTTCAGAAGGGCAAAAAATTCCAGTCTTCATTTTGTATGCTAATGCATCTCCTGCAAGTCCTTATACCTAGTAAAGTTTAGGAATGATACCTCAGACAATGAATGTACTAGAAGGTATGTGCCAATCTCAGAAGTGGTGGTACTATTTTATCTTTAATCTACATACTTAGAATCATCTAAACTATGATCGATGAATTGGCCTACAAGGAAATAGATCAAAGGCATATGAAATTCTAGGATCTGAGGCAGTGCAAATTATGTCTGTCAATCTCGCTGTTACTTAGGGAATGTCTACAATAAAAACACTACAGTGGTATTCTTCCATCGCTGTCGTAAATCCATCCGCCTTGAGACGTGGTAACTAAGTCAAAGACTTCTGTCAACCTAGTGGTATCTACAGTGGGGCTTAGGTAGGCTTAACTGCATTGCACAGGACATGAAATTTTTCAATTTTGCCCTGAGCAATGTAGTTAGGTCTACCTACGTTTTAGGTGCAGACCATGCCTTAGATTCTCTTCAAGCTTTATATTTGAGGACAAATGTATCAGTCCAAAAACACCTCAGTAGACTATGCTGCTACTCCAACTTTATCACTTTCAACAGATCTCTTTAAAAAAAAATTCTTTCAGATTTTTTTTGTTATTAAGAGCAATCTGAAGGAAAATGAGAAAAATCACCTAATTTCCAAAGATAAAAATAATTGTATGACATGTTAGTTTGGAAGCCACTGATATACCAAACCTCTGACTTGACAGTTGACAGAAACGAATATAGGTTCTCCCTATTCCAGGAAATTCTACTTTTACCTTGCAATTAATTTTACTATAGCCTCTGTCAAGGCAATATAGAGAAATTCCCTCTTAGCAATAATTGGAATTGTTGTTTTAAAATTCAAAGTATCACCACAAGTCATAAAGACATCCACTATGAAAATTAGTAACTTAGGGCTTGATTTTCAGAAGTTTAATGTGCAATTAAAAACTGCAAAAAAATTCAGGTATTTATGCACACAAGTGACCAAAGATGAACAGAAATGGTCATTTGTTATATGTGTAAATAGCAAGTTTTACCAAAATACATCTGTAAATACACATGTAAATTGTGCACATTTTGTACATCTAAAACTTTTGAAAATCAGGCGTAGTATATCTATGCAGAATCTGTAACTAAGTGAATTATATAGAAAAAGATGTCATGTCAAATTGAACAATTATAAATCACCAGATAACCAGTAAAAACAGATTTAACTGAATACTGGGACTGTTAAGCGAAAAAAATTAATCGCAATTAATTGCACTGTTAAACAATAATAGAATACCATTTATTTAAATAGTTTTGGATATTTTCTACATTTTCAAATATATTGATTTCAATTACAACACAGAATACAAAGTGTACAGTGCTCCCTTTATATTTATTTTTGATTACAAATATTTGCATTGTAAAAAACAAAAGAAATAGTATTTTTCAATTCACCAAATACAAATACTGTAGTGCAATCTCTTTATCATGAAAGTTGAACTTACAAATGTAGAATTATGTACAAAAAAACTGCATTCAAAAATAAAACGATGTAAAACTTTAGAGCCTAGAAGCCCACTCAGTCCTACTTCTTGTTCAGACAAACAAGTTTCTTTACATTTGCAGGACATAATGCTGCCCGCTTCTTGTTTACAATATCACCTGAAAGTGAGAACAGGCATCTGCATGGCACTGTTATAGCTGGCTGTGACACTGCACTCTATATGATTTTATGAAAATATGCTAATGAGCGTGAATATAATGTAACTAGAATATGCTTCATGCAAAAGGTGTCTTGTAAGGTATCCTTACAAAGCTTATAATTTACTGAGTGTGGTCATCCTATTTGTATAAATGTATCATTCTTGTATCTGAAACTAGAAATATGAAATATAACTCTGAGGTGCTATTGTAGTTATGCAAAGTGTGGGCCATTAATGGTGGTTTAGAATCTTGACGGCTCCCATCAACTAGGACAATTGATTGTAGATGGCTGTTTACTTGTAAATCTTCCTGT